AGGAGGGTCCCTGGGGAGAATGCCTGGAAGGAACTTTTCTATAAACATTGACACCTTCTGGGTCTCTTTTTTGTCCTAATCAGAGGTATTAAGCTTCTTGGCAGGAGGCCTGGTAGGCACTGAGAAAAACAAATGATCCTTTATTATTATGATTATTATTATTTTGAGGCGGAGTCTCACTCTATCCCCTGGGCTGGAGTGCAATGGCGCCGTCTCAGCTCACTGCCATCTCTGCCTCCTGGGTTCAAGCGATTCTCCTGCCTCAGCCTTGTAAGTAGCTGGGAAGACAGGCGCCCACCACGACTACCAGCTAATTTTTGTATTTTTTACTAGAGATGGGGTTTCGCCATGTTGGCCAGGCTGGTCTTGAACTCCTGACCTCAGGTGAGCCACCTGTCTTGGCCTCCCGAAGTGCTGGGATTACAGGCATGAGCCACTGCACCTGGCCAATCCTTTATTTTTAAAGTAAAACACTTTCTATACTCTTAAGAAGCTAACAGTCTATGTGGATAAAACAAATTTTGTTTATATACCTATCAACAAAAGTACAAATGGTGTTCTCCCCAAATGCACTAATATTTGGAAAAGTTTATTCTATTTTTTCTCCTTTACCTCAAAACTCATTTTCCATAAACATAATACATTCTGAAAACCCTGGTTTTCTCATGTCAATTATTTCCTTTTCCATTAATGTTCTTCTTTTTTCCTTCTGTTTCTCATTTGAATTCACCATTGTTTAGAGTTGCATCCACACGGATGCTTATCCTTTTCACTTCTTTGCTGAGCTTTAGGGCACATTCGAATTAAAGGTATAATTTACGATATGAAACTATGAATATACTGAGTAGAAACCGAGGCTATCTGGTAGAAAGGCATATGGACCAGGCTAATTGGAAGATGGGGGTAGGAAGAGAAAAATTCTGAGAAAAAATAAGCTTCCACTCAGCCCAAATATTAGTTTCAAGCCAAAGAAGTTGGCATAGCCCCAATTCTATCCTCGGTTGGACACCATATATGATTGGTGCATTTTCAGAAAAAAAAATCCACAGGGTGAGAATCTAAGCATCTATTTTCCATTCCAGTGACAATCAGAAATCATTCTTTGCATTTATTTTTCAACTTTGTATTTGCCTGTGAACAAAACTGAAGCTGGCAGAAGATGGTTTATGTGAATTTCTTGAACAACAATTTCTCATTGTGTTAAATTACATTGAGGCTGCTTGCTGGGAAATCTTGCCACAGCCCAGTAACAGAGGAAGATGTTGTTGTTTTTTTTCCATGACCATATAGTTAACCCACTTCTCTCCTACAAAAAATGAACAGACGGTCCTCTCTAGAATGAGGGAGACAAGATCTTTAAATCCTAATCACTAAGCATTTACCTATAGCTCATTAATATTTTATGAGCCAAAAGCCAGTTTATCATCCCATTTCACCCCACTTTCTTTTTAAAAAGCTTCCCTACATCAGATTCTAAGTTGGCTAGAATACCTCCAGTAGCCAACAAAGTAAGGAATCAGAGAACCACAGCCTTAGCTGTATTTAGCAATATCTTCATCTTGAAAAGTCACCTAATACAGAAAGTAGCTGAGAGGCTAAAATCATCACAAAGGCTCTAGAGTCATTCGTAATACAGATCTATTCCTAAATTCACCATCCACCACTAGGGGGCGAGATAAATGTAAAACGGCCCTAGCATGGTGGTTACTGCATTTCTCCAAGGCCACATTTAAGCCCAGTTGAGGTCTTTGATGGTTTCAGTTGTTGGCCTTGCTGCTCACATGAGTATCAACTGTCTATTTCAGAGGACGGTTGGAGAGGGCATTGCAGCTCATGGGAGGGCTAAGGCCCCTCTACCTCCCTTTCTCCTTGGTGCTCCTACCAATTTGGGGTGGCAAATGTAGCCTCAATTCCTGCCACTTGCTGGCGGTGGGCTCCCAAAACCCACCTGCTGTTGTTTCTTTTGAAAAAAAAAACAAAAACAAAAACAAAAACAAATGGGGCTAATGAGACCAGTTCTCCCTGTTGTGAGCTTCAGCTGAGATATAGAACACAGCAGTACTTCATAAGCATTAAGGTGCTGTATAGAATACAAGGATGTTTACTGTTTCTCTGCTGCATCCTCTGTGTGCATACGGGGCTAGTGGAATGCCAAGTAGAAGCACCTGGTGCTCCTAAACGCACCTTATCATCCCTGGAGCCCTGATCTACTAGTAAATAAAGGATAAGCAAAGAAGGAAGGGAGTCGAACTTGTTCAATTCCTTCTTTCTGACTGAGGCTGCAGTCTGATTTCCCTGAGGCTGAATTTGATGATTCTTAAGGCTTCAGGCACAGGATTACTTTCATGGCTGCTTACCATTAATTATAGGAAGAATCTACAGCCCTAATCCGAAATTCTTTATCCAGCAGCAAAAGTGTGTGATTTCTCTAAAGACAGCTAATTTTTTAATCTAAAATAAATGGTTCAGCTGAAAAAATCCAGAGCCCTTCTCAGTCTGTACATGAGGCATTGTGGTATTGAACAAAAAGGGCTGGCCGACACGGTGGCTCACACCTGTATTCCTAGCACTTTGGAAGGCTGAGGCGGGCTGATCACCTTAGGTCAGGAGTTTGAGACCAGCCTGACCAACATGGAGAAACCCTGTCTCTATGAAAAATAAAAATTAGCTGGGTGTTGTGGTGCATGCCTGTAATCCCAGCAACTCAGGAGGCTGAGGCAGGAGAACTGTTTGAACCCAGGAGGCAGAGGTTGCAGTGAGCTGAGATCATGCCATTGCACTCCAGTCTGGGCAACAAGAGCGAAATTCTATCTCAAAAAACAAAACAAAAACAAAAAGGTCTGGACATGGATGCAAGTTTTGTCTCTTTCTAGCTTTATAAAAAGAGGAACAACCTAAGTCCTGCCCTCCCCATGAAATGGACCACGCTGGATGATATATGACATAGTATATACGTAGTTATAAAAAACCTGGACTATCACGGCAGACACCCTGGTTTTCAAAGACTGCCATTTATTAGACAAGTGACATTGGTCAGGTTAACCTCTCTGGGCCTCAGTTGTCTTATCTATAAAACAGGGCTAATCATAGTATCTGGTTTAGAGGATTGTTGTGAGGATTACACTGTAAATGCGGGTGAAGCACTGAGAATGATGTCTGGCCACAGTCAGCGTTAGCTCTTGTTTTTCCAAAGAATGTAAATAAGAGTTGGAGATTATAACGCACTCTGCACAACATTTCATTAGTGATGGGGTTACTGTTCATAGACAAGTAAAGTCTCAGCTTGGCTTTGCAGCTCATTGTCACAGAGGCAGGGAATACAGCTAGCTCATCAAGGGTCTTCTCAGGAGGAAGTGGGGAGGTACCCCATGATGCAAAGTGATGGGGAGGGAAAGGGGAGGACAGAAAGATTCTGCAGGAAAGTTGGCTCTGAGTGACGGGAGGGTGTGGGGGAAGAAAGGAGGGGGCAGTAAGGATTCTCAAGGCAGGACTGGCCCGGAAGTGGGGGAAATGGGAAGAGACTTCTGTGGGGGGAGCCAATTCAGATAGGAGGTGGCCTAGACAAGGTGGGGGCATCTCAAAGCGACACCAGACACCAAGCCTGGGTGAGATCATGTCTGGAGCCACAGAAGGATGAAGCAGTTTATATTTAAATGCCATGGCACGACACCACCCTCACCATGACCCTCTATTCTCATTCAAGTTCTTCGGGAGAAAGGAAAAGTATGGTAGTGTTAATTACTACTCAGTTTCGAAGTTGAGCCTGCATTGAGACACAGTAGCCTGGGAGAGTGGATCATTTTCTTGGACACAATTTTTAAGGAAAGCGTTTCGAATGATTTGTTGAGTCCCCCAATGGTCCGGGTGGGAGTTGCTGTTTCCTGGTACCTGTCCAGTCAGCTTCCAAACGCTGCACTTGAGAACTAGCAGATCCTACTGGTGGCGCCCTGTGGTCCACACTCCTTGGTAACGCTGAGAGTGGGGCGTGATTAGGAGGGCCTGCCACGGGCCAGGCATTCAGGTCAAGGCCGAGGATGGTGACAAGGGCCACAGAGCCAGGGGAGGGGTGGGGACCCAGGAGGCCTGTGGCTGGCCGCTTCCTGCGCGCTCCAGCCCGGGGCCCTGGGCGGATGGAGAGCCGGACAAGGCCCTCTGCTGGGTCCGCGGCGATCCTGCAGCGCCTGGACACCTAGGCCAGGCCACCAACAGTCCGCTCGGCTCCCGACGTCTTCTTCTAACTTCCCCTTTCTTTCCCTTCGGTCTGCGGCCTTTTCAGCGACCCCCCCTCCCCCACCCCGCCCCGCGGCTGGGGAGAGCTGCGGCAGGGGCAGGCGGCAGAAACCTCAAGCGGCTCTGACCCTACACCTCCCCAAGCTCCGGAGCACAACGTCTATCCCCAGAAATCCCCGGGCGGATGAGAGCGCGCGCCAAGCCCCTCCTGGGTACTCAGTATTCTCCCTTCCTGGGAACAGCCCGCCTTCTGAGGCCTGGCCCGGGTTCCCGAGCGCCGGGTCCCAGCCCCGTGTGGGCGCCTCCGCACTCCATCTCCCCGCCCGGCGCCCCGTGCCCCGCAGCGCCACCTAGGAACCGGGCGCCGCTCCCCCCTCCCTCCCTCCTTCATGGGCACCCCCTGACTCTGCCGGGACTCAGGGTCTCCCCAGTTCTCCCGGCAGCCGGATCCTGCCAGCCTCCGCCGCCCTCCGCGTCCCCAGCCCGGCCCCCGCGCGTCCCCCGAGGCAAACCGGAGCGGCGCGGCGGGGGCGCTCGGCGGCACAGGCCCAGGCCCAGGCCTCCGGGCTGGGGCCGAGGGGGTGAAGGCAGGCGCGGCCGGCGAGCGAGGGGAAGCGGGCGATGGCAGCGGCGGGCGGCGGAGGCGGCGGCGGGCGGCGCAAGGAGCCCTTGTGATTGGCACAGCCCAAGCCGGAGGAGGAGGCGCGGGGAGGGAGGAGGCGCGGGGAGGGCGGAGGCGGGGGAGGAGGAGGAGGAGGAGGAAGGGGCGAGCGCGGCGGCGGCGAGGAGCTGTGCCTTCCACCTCTCCAGCCCGGGCAGGCAGGACGGGGGCGGCCGCCGCGGGCCCGGGGCGGGGACAGCACGCAGCCTCGCGACGCGCACCCCCGCCCGGCAGCGGCCCCGGCACCCGGGGCGAGCGGGAAAGCGGCGGCGGCGGCGGGGGAAGGATGCAGGGTAAGAAGCCGGGCGGCTCGTCGGGCGGCGGCCGGAGCGGCGAGCTGCAGGGGGACGAGGCGCAGAGGAACAAGAAGAAGAAAAAGAAGGTGTCCTGCTTTTCCAACATCAAGATCTTCCTGGTGTCCGAGTGCGCCCTGATGCTGGCGCAGGGCACGGTGGGCGCCTACCTGGTGAGTCCCCGAGCCAACTCCGCCGCGGGCCCCTTCCCCAGCGCGGCTCGGGCGCGAGGAGGGGGCCGCCGGGCGCTGGGGCAGGCGGGCATGACCTCGGTCCGGCGTGGAGGTTGGCGAGTGGTGCAGAGGCGGCCGCCGGGGGAGCTGCCGGCTGGGGCTGCCAGGGAGCGGGGAGCGGGCGGGACCGTGGATGCCGGCAGCAGCTCGCGCGCGCCCGGCTGGGGTTGGGGGTGCCGGGGGAGAGAGGCGGCCGGCAGGTGGGCGTGAAACTGTTCCTTTCCCCCAGCAAGAGCGGAGCCAGACGGTGAGTTCAGGGGTCTCCTTGGAGAGGAGAGCCTCGGGGTCTTCAGGTGACCTGCACATGGGAAGAAAAGCCAGTTAGCATCCTGCGTCCTCTGCTCTCCACCGTATTCTCCTGTGAACAAATCTATTCTGCATCATTTTCTCCGGGCGCTTTCCCCATCCGCCAATTACGGGGTGGGGCGGGGGGTGTAACAGTTTAGAGTAAAATGCGCCCCAGTGTGGCCCTGAGCTGAGCCGGGGCTGCAGGGGGAATATTCCCACCCGGTATCCCAATGGCCATCTTTCGGCGTCTGGGATAAAGTTGCGGTACCTGGAGAGCAGCTGCGAGTTTGTGTAGTTCCTGCTATCCACTCTTAGAGCTAACTACCCCATCATGGCCTGTCGCCCCCAGAAGGTTGCACCATTTTGCACAATGAATATGTATTTTATTTGCCTCCAGAAAGGGGATGTTGATGCTGAAAAGGCCCATGGGTGCATAACATTTCAGAGGAAACAGCTTGTAATGACTCAGCACTGTCAGGTACCTACTTTGTCCCTTTCGCTTGTCCTGCTCAGGTGGTCTCCGCTTGAGTTCCAGAGAGCGTGCTTCCACACCTAAGTAACCATCCTGTCTAAACAGGAAAACAGTTTTAGAGTTTATGGTGTTAATCATTACTTGGCTATTGACCCGCAACTGGAATCAAGTGTCATAGACTTTGAGTGTTCCTGAGCAAGTTTGATGGAGAGAGAATTGGGCAAGATTTTGACCGTTGGATAACCACATCCCGAGATAGAAGCAGGTGTGTCCTGATGCTGTGATTAATCCCTGATGCCTGGCCTGGGGGCGAAATTAAGGAGGGCCCGACGCTGGGGGCTCTGTACCATTCATAAACTCTCTCTCAAGGCTCCGGGCTCACTGTGAAAGGGAAGTATAAGAGTGCTTGGCCTCTGGTGTTGAGGAAGTTTGGTGGTTGAGAGACAGGGGGGTCTTCAAACTCAGCTCTGTTCCGGGGGTGACAAAATTTCAGGGCTTTTGAAAATCAAATCCATGTTGGTTGCTCCTTCTGAGATGAAGAGCGTTTACATCCCTGTCTCTGTCTTGTGCATTTGTAACTTGTAGACTGCAGGTGAACGCTGTAGCCAAAAGCATGTTTTATTTTCTGTGCTATAAAATGCGCTTATTGTGTCTATAGTTAAAACACACCGTTACATACCTACTGGCCCTTGGAATTTGAGAGATAGGGATAGCTGTGTTTGGGAGTCAGTTGGTCAGCGCTTCCTTAGGGGGAATTTGACTGTTAAAATATTTAAATAAGTACATGCGTTACAGAGATGCAAATTCACATTAATAAAATATATGTGGGTCTGTACTGTGACATATGCAAAGTACATAGTACCTCACCAGGTCTGTGTTTAAAAGGAGGTAATTAGTGTATCAACAGCTGCCTCCACTTCAACGGTTTGCTTGCCTCAAACCAATTTTGCTCAGTGGCGTACATTATTCATGTGTGGCAAACAACAACAGAACTTTTCACCCCAGGAATGGTAAAAGTGTGGGCTTATTATTTTTCGGTTGCAGTAATCTAAGGATTTGACAAAGACATGAAGCCAGGCTGCGACTAGAGGAGTGGCTTAGCCCCTTTAAAAAGTTAAGAAGCAGAGTGCTCTGGAGTGGTGGACTTCTGGAGGCAGGGCTGGCCCCAGGAGATAGGAGTTTGACTTTCATCCCAGAACAGGCAGAGAGGAATTCAGTCCACCTGGAGGTGGCGTCCTGGGACTTTTCACCTTGGCTGATGGAAAGCCTGGTTGGGTGGGGTGGGGTAACAGGAGTCAACAGGTGACTTGCAGAAAGCAGATGGAGACCAAGGAGAGGACAGACCTAGGAAATCGGCATCATTTTGATGACTAGGAGTGGAGGCATCAAGCTCTCAGGATTCTGCTTTGCCCGGCTGCCCTCGACTTTGCCATGCCATCTGAGCCTCGTGAAAATAAATCGTTGGCTTGTGAGGGTTGACTGATTCCGCCTGCTATGGGCTTTGGTCTTCTGGGCCGCTTCAGAGTTTTCTCTTCATCTGTTATTTGGGAGATGGGGGAAAATAAGTTTGCTCCTTCAACCATGCGAGACTTCTCTGTGGATAACTGGAGAATGAAATATTGCAGCCTGTTTGCAGGAAAGGCACATTTCTTCCTTTTAATTCATCACGGTTTTCTTAGGAAACCTGAGACCCTGTGTCTGCAGGGGATCACAGGGCAGGGTCCATGTGCTAAGTGTGTGTTATATGTGATCCTTACACTGGCCATTGGCCTGCCCCTGTAATGAGGCATTTCTAGATACCTGAGGAAGGGCCTGCCTTGGGACGGGCCATCAATGCTCCCTTTCACAGAAAGGAGGGTGATTACAAATTCTGTGCCAAAGACATTGTTTCCTGTTAGATTCCCAGAGTCTACTTTCTTATTTCATCTCCCCTGGTGCCTTAAAACTTAGCAGTTTCATTTCCTCCTTGTTTTTTCTGAAAAGACAAATTTCCCGGTGTCCTGAATGATACTAGTATAGATTTCCTGACTGCAGAACTGAAGCAGGAGATTGCCTGCGATTTGAGAAGCAACTTTGAGAAGGAGGACTTGTGTGTGTGTGTGTGAGAGTGTGTGTGTGTGGGTGTGTCTGTATGTATATATGTACGTGTTAGTTTTCCACCATGAACCTGCCCAGAGACAAAACTTAAGGAAAAACTGTTTGTATATGAGAAGGCCATCAATTGTTAGGCGAGGCTGGAGACCTGCAACTTTTGCCTTGGTGTCAGGGAGTACAGAAAGACATTGATTCTGACAGCCAGACTCAGTGATCTAGATGCAGTAACCCAGGTGCAACCTGGGCCAACTGTGAACTCTGAAATCTATTACAATTGCAAATGTCTTACCTGGAAACCATGCTTCAGATAAGCCAATAGTCACAGGGATGTTCTGTCACAGTCACCTAAACTTCCCGACTGGCTGTGAAATAATCTTTGCAGCATAAGAGAAAAGGGCCGCTCAGTTTGATGGTTAGTGTGTATGGGACAGAGAATGCAATTTAATTTTCTTCTCCTTGGGTCTTTGCTTCGAGTGGCTCCAGTCCTGTTTGCAAGGATGTAACGTGCATAAGTCTTGGGCTGGTTGGAGAAGATGCAGGCATATGAGAACTGCATGATGAGAAGGTCACTTTGTGTTTATTGGGGCTTTGCAGAGACCCACTAAAATGTTTTTTTTTTCTGTTTCTCCAAAATTTGATTTTAATTTAAATTACAGGGCCAGCCAGATATTCTGATAAGAAATTCACTTTTCCTCAGGGGAAAGAAAATGCTTTCGTGGCATTGTTAACAAATGTTTACATCTCCACTTTTTTAAGGGTTAAAAATCACATTAAGTAACTGCCTTAGGTAAAATTAGACCTTTATAACACAAAAAGAAACCACTTTCCGTATCATAGGCTTGGTAATATGAATATGTTAAATGATCATAACTTCAAATGCAATTTTATCCTTATATATTTTCCCATTGTTTGGTTTAAAAACAAAACCCAAGAAGTCGTAACTACCTTCAGATTCCAATATGAGAATAACACATGAATGTCTCTGCCACGATGCACCCCTCACCTCGCTTCTTCCACCGAGAAGCTTCCACTAAAATGTTTTAAGCCATTCACTGAGGGTAGCCCTGCAGATAGAGGTTTCTGTGTGGTATCAAATTACTGAGGACTGGCGTAGATAAAGGTGTGTACGGGAAATTAAAACCTCCAGCACCTCTAGCTGATGAGATTGAGGTGTACATACAAATGCATTTGAATTTCCTCAGGAAGAAAACTGAAAAAAGGCCAGTCTAGTTTCCTGGGTGGGGCACAAAGGGAGTTCCTATGAGCAAGGGGTAGATATTTCCCTATTTAGAATTATAGAAAAGGCAGTTTGAGGTTGTGGTGACAAAATAATGACACAGATGACTGAGTGTGGTTAATGAGGCTCTATCTCACTGCTTTGTAGTCATACTTTTTTTTTCCAGCCTGAGAACAGTCAGTGGGCTTGCAATTAATGGGTGAGGCAGATTTGTTGTTCCTTTTTTTTTTTTTTTTTCTAAAGAAGCATCATTTTGAAGATGAGTTTTTGCATATTCAACCCAGAAGCAGACAGCTGAGGAAACTCTCTGTTAACATTTTTCAACAGAGAGACATTTTTAAAGTCCTTGTCAAATTAGTGTGATGACTAAGGTAACCGTATTTTACTTAATCAAATTATTTTATACACTTAGGGTTCCTCGAAGTGACAAATTCCTTGCCATTTCCATAATTACTATGTAGCCCCAGGTAGTAGGAAATAAAATTACCTTGGTTTTTTTTTTTTTTTTTCCCTTATAGATTGGTTTAAAATGTTAATAGTAATTATTAAGGGAAAAATGTATTTCTGAAAATTCTTTTCAGGGAGCTTTGTGTATATATCTTTGTTTCTGAGGGAGTTTTTGTTGGTGTGTTTTACAGTAGGAGAAACTACGTTAGTTGTAAAATGAGTGAGGGCCCTTTCCTGCCCGTTGTTAATTCTTCCCCTCGTTTCAGTTTTAGACACCGTGTGAAAGGGAGCACCGAGAGGCTGCCCCGCAGCGGCACCACCTTGCTAGCCAATTGCCCAGCATTTGCAGCACACCTTGCATGCTGCCGGAATCACATTCTGTATTACGCTGCATGGGCTTCC